CTTTTTTTTTTTTTTTTTTTTTTTTGAGACAAGTTCTCACTAAGTTGCCAAGTCACCCAGGCTGGATTCAAACATGGGATCCTCTTGCCACAGCCTCCCAGAGTGCCAGGATGACAGGCATGTGCCACCATATTTGAAGGAAAATGAATGAAACTTGAGGTCAGAATGCTAAGGGAAATGAGTCAGACATAAAAAAGTTAAATATCACATAATTTATCTTACATAAGAAATGTAAAATATAAATAAATGAATAAAACACAGGTAAGAGTAGGGAACAGGAAGACGTACTTTTGGAGATGAGGCAGGGAGAGGTGACAGGAGAGTAAAGGGATAGAGAATGATTGAGATATATCTTATGCATGTACCAATTTCCAAAAATAAACATTGCTACTCTGTATTTCAGATACACATCCATAAAAGATAAAAAAAAAAAAAATTAAAGCCAGGCTTGGTGGTGCACAGCTGTAATCCCACCACTCAGGTCTCTGAGGCAGGAAGGTCACCTTGAGTTCTGGGCTAAAATGAGTTGAAGGCTAGTTTGAACCGTATAGGGAGACACTGACTCAAAACAAAACAAAGGGGCCGGGGAGATGGCTCAGTGGAATAAGCGCTTCCCTGGCAAGCTCAAGGGCCTGAGTTCAATCCCCGCTTCCACAAAAACAAAAGGAATAAAAAAAGATAAAACACAAAATACACACATTTAAGAAACAGGAAAGAGCCGGCCAGATAACTCAGCAGACCAAGCACAGGGGACCAGGGTTCGATCCCCGTGCTGTGCCAGCCCTGCCCCAGGGGCTCAATGAGAGGGCACCTGAGACTGGGCATGGTGGCGCTCCCCTGTAATCCCAGTGCTTAAGAGGCTGAAAAATGAGGATCACTACGAGAGTCTGACCTGTGCAGTGAGACCCAAAAAACCAGGAGGGGGTTGCACACCCGGTAACCCCGGTATTCAGTGTGCTCAAGCAGGAGGATCACTGCAGTCTTGAGGCCAGCTTGAAGATACAGTAAGTCAAGGCCAGTCTGAACTGCATAGCAAGACTGTCTCAAAAAAAAAAGAGACTGAAACCCCCTCAGCTTCCGCCTTCCCTTCCCCGTGACAGCCGTGATCACAGTACATGCACTCTGAGCTCTGTGCTTGGCTCTGCCTGCAAACCCTTGACCACGTGTGTAAAAATGTGCAAGCGAAAGCTGCTGCCAAGGCTGCCCCAGCCCAGTGTGCCTACTGCAGAGGCGTTGTGTGGGGCCATCTGCTCAGTGCTGACGGAAAGTGGCTGCCAGACAGCGTAAGCAGGAGCACCACAGAAGCCAGCTGTTCCTGGCAGACACACCTCATCCAAGGCCCTCTGGGCTGTGTGACATCTGCCACTTTTATTTATTTATTTAGCGGTACTGGGGTTTGAACTCAGGACCCTGCGCTTGCCAGGCAAGCACTCATTCTACTGAGCTATCTCCCTGGCCCTCACCTGCCACTTTTTTTTTTTCACCTGCCACTTTTAAAGACACACCTCTGCACCTCAGGGCACCAGACACAAAAAGCACAACAGCTGCTGCAATCAGCAATGGGAAGAGGGAGACCCAACGGGTAGCAGGGACTGCTGCAGACAACCAGACGCCAACAAATCTAGCTGACAAACTTCGAGAAAGACAGACCACCGGAACTGCTCACAGACCTGTCACAGGTGAAGAGACTGACAGTAATTTAAAAACCTTCTGCAGAGAAGATGGCAAGTTTGAGACTAGCTGAGTAATTTAGCAAGACTCTATCTCAAAATAAAAATTAAAAAGGGACTGGAGGTTTGGAGCGATAGCTCAGTGGTCTAAACGCCTTCCTGGCAAGTGCAAGGACCTGGGTTCGATCCCTGGTATCACATCCTGAGCCAGCCCCACACAGAGCCAGCCATGGAAACCAGGTATGGTGACGCACATGAGATTACAAAATAATACAAAGGGACTGGAGGGGCCGAGGAGATAGCTCAGTAGAATAAGTACTTGCCTGGCAAGTGCAAGGGCCTGAGTTCAATCCTCGGTTCCACAAAAAAAAAGGGGGGGGGGGACTAGAGTACAGCTCAGTGGTGAACCAACCCCTGGGTTTAATTTCCAGCACCACACATACACAAACACACTTGTACAAAAAACAAAAACAAGGGGCTACAACCCTCTACTGTTGGCAAGACAGTAGAGACATCAAAATCTCACACAGCACTGATGCAAACATGAGCTGGTGCATCTCCATGGAAAGTAGAATATCTTCTTCAACAGATGACCATAGAATTCTCAGATGTTATGGCTTGTACCTAGATGTCCCCTCCAGAGCCCTATGGGGGCATAGGTGGGGTTTTCCAGAGGTGGCTGGACCTGGGCTGTGTGAATATGGATTAAAGGTGTGTGACTATGGATTAAGGGTACAATAATTAAATTAGTGTGATAATTGGTTTAGTGTTGTTCCGGGTGTGGATGATGGGAAGCCCTACCATGGCTGTGGGTGGCACCAATCAATAGGCTTAGAGCCTGGATGGAACATAAAGGGAAAAGACGGAAGGCAGGTGCTGCTTCCTGTCTGCCCTGCTAAGGACTGCTCCTCCTCTGGGATGCCCCTCTGCAATGCCAGCCTGCCTTGGAGCCAGCTGACTAAGAGCTGACTCTTCTACAAACTGTGAGCTAAAAATAAACCTTTCCTCCTCATGGATGTCAGGTATTTTGTCCCACTAAGATAACCACATGGCACAGGAGCTCTACTCCTAAGTATTTACTGAAGGGGACTAAAAGTACATGTGACATCTAAGCACAAGTGAATTTCATTCACTGCCGCCAGGTGTCTAGTGGCAGAAGTAGATACACAGTGAGGTCGCCTACCCACAGAACAATACTTGGCCATAAAAAAAGTTCTGAGAGACCCTACAATGCAGTGAACCTGGAAGACAGTGTACTCAGTGAGAGGAATAGACACCTCTGCAAACATTAACAGTGGGCCAGTCTAAAATGGGAAGGTTGGGCATGAGTGAGAGTGCTAATGGACATGGGTTTGGTTTGGTTTAGATCAAACCAACTGGCTGGTAACTGAAACCCTCAGAACTGTACACTCTGAAAAATGGGCAGGCCAAGCATGGTGGTGCATACCTATTCCAGCCCTCTGAAGGCTGAGGCAGGAGGATCATTGCCAAGTTCAAGATCAGCCTGTGCTACAAAGTCAGCTCAAGGCCAGCCAGAGCTGCATATTGAGCTCCTGTCTCAAAAAGATTAAAAAAAGAAAAAAAAAAAAAAATCTTGGCCAAATAGCTCAGCAGATTAAAGAGCCTGCAAACAGGGACAGGGGCCAGGGGTTCAATCTTGGGCCTGCCATGGTGGCCCCACCCCCAGGGCGCACTGAGACAGCAATTGAGACCGGGCATGGTGGTGTGCGCCTGTAATCCTGCAGCTCTTGGAAGGCTGTAAACAGGTGGATCACTACAAGTCCAATCTAGTAGTGAGACCCTGAACACCTTGTAGACCCTTCCCTAAAAATACAAAAGAAAAAAAAAAGATAAAAAAGGAAACAGGAAAGAAAAATAGGTAAAAAGTTATGCTATGAAAATCATCTCTCGGGGCTGGAGAATAGATCAGTAGAATAAGCACTTGCCTGGCAAGCTCAAGAGCCTGAGTTCAATCCCTGGTTCTGCCAGGAAAAAAAAAAAAGAAAAGAAAAGAAAAGAAAATCATCTCTCAACTAAGCAGCTTGAAACAAAAAACCCTTAGAAGAGCCACAGTCACCCTCCAGCCCCACAGGTCCATACCACATGGCTTTCATCCACAGTAATAGAGCTTGTGGTTTTTTAAAAAAAGAAAGAAAATGACAGCTGATTAGGGAAACAAAAACTGTCCATAAAGGAAAGTTCAGAGCCAAGGCCAACCACATTCAGGCTGGACAGGCTGGCCCTTGGGCCTCAAGGAAGTGGGCCCACACACACCTTTTGGACTTGCCATCCCCTTTGATCCTGTAGTCACCTTCGGCCTTCCTTAGCTCCCCCTGGGCCTCAGCTATCTGGGTCTTCTTTGCTTGGATCTGTAAAGAAATAGGAAGCCAAGCAGAGTTCTTCAGGCCTCTCAGGCCTGAAGGTATCACTTGCTCCACCTCCAGGCTCCGACTGATCTAACTCCCTAAGGCCCTGCCTCCCAGCCTTCCTTCCAGGACTAGGATGAAGGATGGCCATGTCCCAACAGGAAGGTCAGAGGTAGCGCCGGGACAGCTCTACCCTGAGCTAAGCCAGTTTGCACCAAGGTGTTGGCGGAACAGCCAGCTCCTAACCAAGACCTCTTGATGAGGACCCTGGCAGCCCCAATCCCCCCACACCAGCTTGCTGAAGCCTTCTGCCTGTCACATTGCCTCTGCATTCACTGTGGGCAGCTCAACACCACCAACAGTGAGGAGGATCTCCCACCTTTGTCTGCAGATTCCGCATTGACTTCTCAAAGGTCTTGGGAGTCGCTCGCTGATGGTTGCAGAGGATGGCCACTGCCCGGTTCGCCCGATTGTAAGCTAGGATCTTGGCAGCTATACTGTCTTCAGCTAAGCAAAAACAGCAGCCATTGTCACTCTACATGTTTAGTCCTTCTAAGTACCTTGTAAACTGAAGACCCTTCCACAAGAACCTCGTGGAGGGAAGAGACTGAGGGTGAAGGGTCAGTGAACTACCTAATGTTGTCCCATGAACCTAGTGGTTAACCTCAATAGCATGCTTGGCAGGTGGGAAGGTACCCAGGAGTGTCCCTCCTCCCCCGGCTTCCTGGGGACCCAGTTCTGTCCTACTGGGAGAGCTGTAGGAGCAGATCAGACTAGCCCCTGGGCAATCCCACTCTCTAGGGCGTCCTAGAGCTGGTACCACAGAGGGCTCCAAGGAAGGGAAAAGCCAGGCATCCATCTGTGCAGTGCATTCTGGGCCCTCCCTTGGGGAGCCCCGTTACACCACAGAAGCCTGTTACCAGCTATTACCAGCCTAACACCAACCACCTGGTTTCCCCTGGCAACTTCACCATTACTTCTGCTTTCCTGTCAGGAACCTGAGGCTCAGGGCACTTTGGTCTCTCCTCAAGTCACCTGTTCAGGTGGCCACTCATTCTCACGTTCCCTCCTGCCAACTCTAGGCATCCCCAGACTAGGCAGCCAGTTCCACAGGGATTACAGATGCCCCTGGAAATGAACCTGCTCTGCCAGAATGCCCTGCTCCAGGACCTCTGGCCCCCTCAGGGGTTTTCCTCTGCCTAGGATTCCTCATATGGATACCAATGGAACCAGCCCCGACTCTCCGAGGACAGTCCCTGGGCCACATGGCTCATTGGGCTCAAGCTAGTCACCCTCCACCACTGCTCTGGGTATGGTGGGGACAGCTTGGATTCAATGGTTCTGAGTCCATGCCCCATCTAAATGGCCTCACATCTCCCCAGCAAGCCTGGCCTGGGAGCTGGTGAGACAGGCAGCAGGCACAGGTGGTGGACGTGGCCCACAATACCTCTGCTGTGACGGGGAAGGGGAAGAGGCAAACATCACACACATTTTGCCCCTGCTACACATGTAAGCAGTGGAGTAGAGATGAAGGCCTTAGTCTGGCAGCAGCACAATGAGGTGGGGATGAGGGGCTGAGTGGGCTGGAGACCCAAAGGTTAGGCCCTAGAGCAGCCATGTGGTGGGGAAGGACAGTGCAAAGGCCTATTAGGAACCTTTAAGAACTGAGACCAGAGATAAGGCCAGGCCTTGAGAAGGCAGGCAATGAGGGATGGGAAGACAAGGCTGAGCAAGAGGGCAGCCTCACCCGGCTCTCCCCATGTGGGTCGCATGGAGCCTTCCACCTGGCAGGCAGCTACACCCAGCTGCTCTTCAGCTCACTCAAGACAGTCTCTGCACCTAAGGCACCATCCCTAGGTGCCTCCTCAAGGCCAGGCCCCTGTGCTCCCTCAGGTGAGGGCTGGGGCCCTGCTCACCTCTCGTCAGCACCCGCAGCTGCTCTTGAAGGACAATAGAAGCGTTGTAGGTACGGAACACCTTGGCTGTCAGCCCATCCATCAAGTCCTGCAGGTGCTTGTTCAGGCTGGAAGTCTGGTCGTGTGGGAGGAGATGACCCCATCAACATGGCTTCCCTGGAGACCAAATCTCCCCAAGCCATGCCTGACTTTCTGCAGGAGGCAGGAAAGGGAACTTTAGCTTCTGGCTCAGAACAGAAACCACCAGGGCCTGACTGGGGAAAAGGATGAGCTAGACTCGGCACTACCACTCCATTCCTTGGCCCCTGCTCTCCACAAATGCTTGGATAATGAAAGCAGGCTTACGGTCAGTTTATCAAAGAGGTCTTCCCCAGGGTCCTTGTTCTCCATGAATATCTGCAAGTTCTGGAACACCTGAAAAAAGAGGAGAGTTGAACCCAGAGCCATATGCAAAGAAGACTCATGGGGTGAATGCTGGCCGATGCAGACAAGCGCCCCATGAACACTGGAGAGGCCACAACAGGACTCAAAGGGAGGCGATCCCACTCACCAGGGGCTGGCGGCACATTCATCACTCTTGCCCTAGCCCTGCTCTGGTCCCTCACTGACTGCTAATGCACAGCACCTCTACAAACCCACTGGGTAGACTGGGCAAGCAGCCAAACCCCAGCTCCCTCCTTCATCACCAACACTAGGCTTCTACCAGGTCCATCTCACCTAACATCACAGGGCCTCAGGAGGCCATCAGGGCCCTATCTATAATCTCCCTCCTGTGGTCACTTTTGGCAGCAAGCACTCAGTTCCTCCTGCACAAACCAAGCCTGCAAGGGGACTTCCAGGTGTGCCTGCCTCTCCCATGCTTTTGCCCATCCACTCTCCTAAGGGAGCAGGCTGGCTCGGTGGGCATCAGCTCTGCAGCCTCCCTCAGTCTCTCCAGTGTCCACACAATGGCCTGCACGTCCTGTGGGTGGACAGCAGGACACTGGGAAGAGGCAAGGAACCTTCCTTCACTACTACAGTGAGCCTGTCCCCTCACTGGGGATGACATTGAGTGGAAGAACCATGCCTTGGCCACCTCCCAGGAGAACACTGCTGACTCAGGTGGTCTGGGGCCTGACGGCTGCCAGATTCTAAGAACACTGCCTCTTGTACCTTTTCTCTTTGGAGCTCTTTTCTCCACATTAATTTTCACACTGGTGATGCTTAGGAAGGTTTTATATCCTATTTTTTCATTATATCATATGTTGTTTCAACTTTTTTTTTTTTTTTTTACCAGGGATTGAACTCAGGCCCTTGAGTTTGCTAGGGAAGCACTTATTCCACTGAGCCATCTCCCTGGCCCCATGTTTTTGTTTTTTGAGACAAAGTCTTGCCATGTTGCCCAGGCTGGCTGTGAACTATCCTCCTGTCTCTGTCTCTTAGGCAGCTGGGATTGCACCCACAGGCCAGTACACTCAGCTCTCCAACATCTTTTTTCACCCAGACAGAAGTGACCCCACCATTCAGGTGTCTCCCCTGCCCCTGACCACACCAAAGAGACGTGCGCTGCGCCGCTTTCTCGTGCTGTGGCTATTTCTGTTCCCTATCAACTTCCTCCATAGCTCGCCACCCTGAAGAGAAGAACCACGCTGGAGGCCCTGGAGGGGCTTGGCTGCCCACACTGGACACCTCTCCAAACATCCCAGAGCTGGGCTACACTGTGCTTGCGAGAGGTGCGCAGCTGGCGTGTGGATACGTTCGACGTCCACAGGATGTGACGCTGCGGTAACACTGTCGCTCGGCAGAATAGCCATTCGTTCCAAAGGGCAGCAATGCTCACCAAGTTCTAAATTCTCCTCATGGGAACTGATCTGCAGACCCAGAAGCTTCCCAGGTCTTCCTCAGCCTGAACATTTGACTCAACCGTCAGCCCACCAATGTTGGCGAGGCGGGCTGTTAGCATGACGCCCCCTAGCGGGCTCAACCCATCTGCGTCCTTTACAGCCGAGCGCTTCAGAACACAGCCAGAGCCCTGGCGACTGGGAGACCTTTCCCAGGTGCACTGAGTGCGCATGGCCCCCAAACTCATGTCTTTCCTCAGACCTGTGAATGAGACTTTATGCAGAAATAGGGTGGCTGCAGGTGTAACTGTTAAGACGAGGTCACAGCAGAACAAGGAAGGCCCTAAACTCAATAGGAGTGTCTGAAAAGAGAAGAAACACAGAGATACGGGATGAAGAGGCTGCATGTGACAGAGGCAGAGATGAGCATGAGCCACAGCCAAGGACACCCAGGATCAAAGGCCACCACCAGGGTTAGTGAGAGGCAAGGAATGGATTCTCCCTGACCCCCAAGAAAGAACCCATCACTGCCCAGGGCTGGCCTCCTGAAGTAAGATAATAAACATCTGGTGTCCTGAGCACCCACCTGTGGTGCCCTCATGCACACGGGGCACGCTGCCCACAGTAAGATGGGGCTCTGTAGCCTGGGGCAGACGGCTCTGCCGCTCCTCCACACCCTAACAAACACCCAGGTAAGGACAGGGAGGGCTGCAAAGGGTACTCACAGCCTTCTCCACTGGCACCCAGTTATAGTAGCGGATGGAGTCCTTTCCCAGGAAGTCCAGCTCCACCACGTGCTTGTGGCCATTAGCGTACATGTGTAGTCGGACGTGCTCCATGCGGAGAGAGCAGCAGCCCACTGTATCAGCTGTTCTACCTTCCTCCTTCTCATTTCCAGTTCGCAGTGCCAACTGGACCAGGGTAGAGACCAGTCAGAATGCACAGGTACACACACATACACATACACACACAACTTCGTATTCATGAGCACACAAAGAGACACATGTACACCACTCTGTCTGCCCAATAGTGGCTCCATCCCTACACAAAGGCTGCCACTGACCCCTTGCCCGGCCAATGAGGTCCCCACACCAACCTATACCTTATCAATGAAATAAAGGGCCACACCCCGCTGTCTTTTCTTCATTTCCGGAGACTTCCAGTCGGTCCGATACTGAGAGCGGATCTCCTCCACAACCCGCTTAAGGCGCCGAGCTACCTCGTACTTTTGCCAATCTTTTTCTCCCTGAGTGAAAATAGTAAATAGTGAAGGAAACTCTCCATACTCCTATAAAATCATGGGCTTAAAAGGCTGAACTGGAAAGACTGGAGGCCTCTCCCACTCTGCCTTTCTGGCCCAGGAGGGGTGAAGGGCCCCTGGCACTCTTGGGGGTCCTTCCTGGAAGGCCACATATCTTCACCTTTATCTTGGAGCTGGGGTTCAGCATGATGTACTTGATGGAATTCTGGACATTCTCTGTCCATGCGGCCAGCCATGTGACTGTGTTATCCGAGCGCACTTCTTTCCACTGATGACCTGCTGGGGGCTCGGGGATCTGTGAGTCCCTACAGTAAAACAGTTACCCAAGTACCATTTAAAGCCTTTGTCCTCTGAAATTCGAGAAAAGCAAGCAAGCATCTCTAGGCAACTGTCCCACACTGTGGCCAATGGCTACGACCAGTGGCAGGGCCTCAGGAACAGCCAGCCTTCCAACTGCTGGGACCAAACCAGCTGTGCAGCCCACCCTCTGTGGATACCAGGGTCAAGGACTAAGCACCTTCCTAGACAAGCTCAGGGACTGGAGTTTGATCCCTGGCCTCATTTGTATAAGCCCCGTCCCCCCAGCATGATGAGCTGGCCACAAGGTGGTGCACACCTGTAATCCCAGTGCAGGGGAGGCTGAAAACAGGACGATCACTAGAGTCCAAAGTGCATAGTGAGACCCTTACCAAATACATAAAAAAAGACCAGGGTCAGACCAGGAACTGGGTGCCACCCAGCAAAGCCACCAGCTCTGCTACTCAGACTCAGACCATGCAAGTGTGCTGCAGAAGCGTAGCCACCTGGGGCTGCTCAGGCAGGTTGAGGCCAGGCACCCCACTTACATGGCCCTAAGTAACAGTAACACAGCACCAGCAGATTTCTTGCCATGACTTCAAACCCTGGCCCACTACTAAACTATGTGCATAATATGATTATGAAAAAAGTATCAAAATATATAAGAAACTTCTTGGCTAGGAAAACCCAGAGAACTCTAACAGTGCAGAATGGCCCCACTCACAGCCAAGGCTGCCACACCCCTAGCCTTGGAATCCTACATGGGAATGGTGCATGATGCCACCAACTACATGTCATATGACATGCCCTTGTCCCAGAAGAGCTGAAGGACAAAGGTCACCTCTCCAGGTGGCCAGAGTCCAGCATGAAATGGTTCAACCTGGCCCAGGCCCAGTGCACGCCCCCAGCTCAACCTGGCAGCCTGCTCTGCATACCTGCTGCAGTTGATGACCACATCCTCTGGCCTGATTCTCCTCTTCAACATCCCCATCTTGGGATGGTCTCCACGGCCACAGAACAGCCCAGGCAGCTCTGTCTTAAAATTGCCTATTTTTTCTCGGTGGCCATCTAAAGTACAGTAGCCAAACTCGTGCTCAAGTTTTTCTGCCTCTTCTTTTAACTTCTGAGTTAATGAAAGCACACAGGGATATTAGCAGTGAAGAATACAGAACCAACATGTGAGTTCCCCGTCCTAACCCAGGACCTGCCCCTCCTTCCCTGCGGCTAAACCAGTCACATACTGTGCAGACAGCGTGCGTCCTCACAGCAGGAGGAAAGCCAGGCAAATTCTACAATAAACCTGAATCCCCTGCAACCTTGGCTGAGAAGGGTGCCCTTGCCCCAGGAGGGCCTGCAAAGCTGATATTTGGCTCCGGCTGCACCCACACGCGCAGGCCACTTCCTCTTTGCGCAGTGCTCCATGCAGCCCTACCTGCTTCTCCTCCCTGGGGAGGGCTCGCCATGCTGCAGCTTTGTCTACGAAGTGCCTGTGGATCTCCGTGAAGTCACATTTGTCCAGGTGCTTGATGAGCGATCGCTCCTCTGCTGTCATTTCCTGTACCAACACAGAAGCACGTGCTCTCAGCATACGGAATGCAGGCAAGTTCCTGCAGCATGGGAAGCCCCAGCCAGGAGCCCATTCCACAAGGCTGCCATGACATCACAGAAGCAGGAGTGTTGGGCTGTGGATAGAGTGTCAGGGCCACCTCAGCTGACTATCGGCCGCTACCACCTGGCGGGCCACAGGCTCAGGTGCAGAGTGGTGCGCTGAGGTCCGAGTGCTTCCTTCACATGGCCTGGCCTGGGAACAGCACCACACCCCCAGCACCCATGCTGCTCACACATGCAGCACACTCAGGATGGACTGACAGCAGCCATCAGGGAACAGGGTGTGTCCCCAGCACAGGCCTTCACATCCAAAGACCCTGACATGCATCCTCTGAGCCTGGCTCCTACAGGAAGTGACTCTGACCTCACAAACACCACATCCTCCCTCAGGCAAGGATACCTGTACCCCACACCACACTCCAGATGAAAAAGAGCCCCTAGAGGGCTGGGGAGATAGCTCAGTGGAATAAGTGTTTGCCTGGCAAGTGCAAGGTCCTGAGTTTGATCCTTGGTACCACCAAAAAAAGAAAGAAAGAAAGAAAGAAAGAAAGAAAGAAAGAAAGAAAGAAAGAAAGAAGAAAGAAAGAGACTCGATGCCTTCTGCCTTCCCTGCCACGCCATGAGTTGTTTCTCCACTACAGTGCCCCTCTGCCATGTGCCACCCTGCCTCGAAGACAGCTGACCATGGACTGAAACCTCTACATACGCTGTATTATCAAGTCCTAAATCGTGGAATGATTGTCTCCTCGGCACTAATGATCTGGAAGGGGTTAATGGTAATAACTGGAAGTGAAAGTCCAATTGCAGTGGTGCTCAGCGGCAGCATGGAGCCTGCATTTCAGAGGAGATCTTCTCTTTCTAACAAATCGAGTTGAAGATCCTATATGAGTAGGGGAAATTGTTTTTAGGATAGAAGGAAGAGAGATTCCTATAGTTCATCGAGTCTTGAAGATTCATGAAAAGCAAAATGGGCATATCAAGTTTTTGACTAAAGGAGATAATAATGCTGTTGATGATCGAGGCCTCTATAAACAAGGACAGCATTGGCTAGAGAAAAAAGATGTCGTGGGGAGAGCCAGAGGATCTGTTCCTTATATTGGAATTGTGACAATGCTCATGAATGACTACCCTAAATTTAAGTATGCAGTCCTTTTCTTCCTGGGTTTGTTCATGCTGGTCCATCGTGATAAGAAGCCTGCCTAGGAGCCGGGGAGATGGCTCAATGGAATAAGTGCTTCCCTGGCAAGCTCAAGGGTCTGAGTTCAATCCCCGGTTCCGAGAGAGAAAAAAAAAAAAAGCCTGCCTTGCTGTTCCTGGGAAGATGCTGTGCTTTTTGTTACTGAGTGTTCAGAGTGGATA